ACTTGAAGTGGCGGCTTACGCAAAGAGAGAGCTCGTAACGCGCAAAGCGAAAGCTAATAATGCGCAATGGCAAAGCAAAAAAAAAGGTAATGGTCCCACTCAAAATAAAATCTCCTATTTTTTTAAAGTGCCATAACTTTTTATTTGTACTCCGATTGTTACAAAAAATATACCAAATTCATAACTTTTTATTACCTTTCATTTGACACCAATATTGACTATATAAAAATCAAAAACTAATTTAACACTTTAAAAATTATTTGTTTTTTATAAATATATATCTTTTTTATTTGAATTCCGATTATTACAAAAAAAAAATATCAAAATTCATAATTTTTTATTATCTTTCATATAAAAGCAATATTTCATATATATATAAATTAACACTTGAAAAAGATACTATGTGCGTAGTATGTTTGTTCAAAATGCTACTCCCTCCTTCCTAAAATGGTGGTCCTGTATTTCCTTTTTGGGATGTCCAAAATGATGGTCTTGTTTCCCTTTGTGGTAAAGAACAAAAGTGTATTACCATTTATACTCTTCCTTTTTAATGAACAGTATGTAAAAGGATGAACAATATAATAAAGTAGGTTCTTTAGTCTTTCTTAATCTTTGTGCCCAAAAGAAACAAGACCATCAATTTGGGACATAGGGGGTATAACATTTTTATTTGTACTGCAATTGGTACCTTTCATATGACACCAATGTTGCATATAAAAAATAAAAAAAAAAATTATTACCTTGGACAGTTTATAATCATTTTTTATCTTGCACGCTATTAATATGGAGTGATAACGTAGAATGGAATAGCATAAACTCTCGTGCACGGTAAAAAATGATCCTAAACTAGACAAATTATTAGTTTTTTGTTTATTTTGATATATGAAACATTGCTTTCACATGAGAGATAATAAAAAAATTATGAATTTTGATATATTTTTTGTAATAATCGGAATACAAATAAAGAAGATATATATTTTTAAAAAACATATAATTTTTAAAGTGTTAAATTAGTTTTTTTATTTTTATATAGTCAATATTGGTGTCGAATGAAAGGTAATAAAAAGTTATGAATTTTGGTATACTTTTTATAACAATCGGCGTACAAATAAAAAAGTTGTGGCACTTTAAAGAAAATACGAGATTTTATTTTGGGTGGGACCATTTCCTTATTTTTTTTGCTTTGCCATTGTGCATTATGCGCTTTCTCTTTGCGACGAGCTCTCTCTTTGGGTCTGTTTGCAACAGCTACTGTTTTTAAAAAAGTGCTTTTTTAATGAAATGGGGAGAAGTGATTAAATAAAAGTTGATAGTGTTTGAGAAAAATGTGATTTTGAAAAGTAAAAGTAAGTAGTGTTTGGTAAAATAAGTGCTTTTTGTGTAATTGAAAAAGTAAAAGCACTTTTGACGCGGAAGCCGAGAAAAATAAAAGTTGTAGTGTTTGGGAAAAAATATATTTTTTTTAAAGTCAAAAGCTGAGAAGTGCTTTTTTAAAAGCAGTTGCAAACAGACCCTTTATATAAGCCGCCACTTCAAGTGGCTGTTCTCAGATTACTTGGGAAATACTTTTAACCCAATATTAATTTGGGAAGTATTTTTTTGTTTGACATTATTTTGAGAAAAAACTCTTAAATGGTACCTATATATAAGTACACAACGAATCAAGGATGTCAATGAACCTATTAAATAAATTGAGCTGAAGAAGTAAATGTTTGTTTGGATTCAACATAAATTAGATGAAAAAATTACATATAAATGGAATTATGTTATATAAACTTAGGGGTGTTTGGATCTAATTCTTAAAACTACTCATGCTCCTTCAGGAAGCAAAAGTAGAAGATGGGGTGTTTGGGTAAAGTGAAAAAGTATTTCTGGTGCTCTAATTTACTCCTAGAAGCAGTTTTTTTTGGAAGTTGGGGGAGATCAGCTTCTGAAAACTGATTCTGATTCTACTTCTACTTTAAAAAAGAAGTAGAAGCAAAATCAGTTTCAAACATACCATTAGTGACAAATTTTTGAAAAATATGAATCTGAGTTTGGGTATATATATTGAATATACTTTTGAGTCTACACTAGTTTAATGGTATTTAAACTTGCATTCATATGGAATTATAAGATCATGGATTGCAGAGCCGGCGTTTAGCATGTTCAACATGTTCTACAAAACAGGGCCTCCCGATTTCTGAGTCCCCAACTTTAAAAAAATTATTAGTATTACATAGTGAAAATAGAAATAAATACTAATGAATAAAATAAAGTTTTTGTCGGTAGTCTTATTCATGTGTTACTCAAATTGATTGAGTGATGAGTTGTGTTGCTTTAAATCAAGTTTTAAGCGATTTTTAGAATTTTTATTACATTATTTGACGAGTATTCAATTGATTTTAGTATAGATATTTCATTTTTTTAATTCTTAATATTAAAATGGGGCCTCGATTTTTTGGCCTCCAAATTCATTGATTGTTATGGACTTCTAATTCATTATAATTAACATTCCGTCTCTATTATTTTATCTTCCTCTCTAATTTTCACAAACTTTGTTTGTCCTTTACTATACGTCACAAGTAGGCCTGCATGAATCTGGAATAGGGCAATTGGTCTTGGTCATCCTGGACCAGTACCGGGTCATGGGGTATTGGGACAGTTTTAGTATGTAAGGTTTGCAAATCAAACTCATTTTTATTACCGAGTATTATTTTATAATACGATAAATAAATCTGAGATCCACTTCAATATAAATGCACAATATAAACATGATTTGTGTTTGCATAATAACTCTACATTATTATATGAATTACATATGTAGCATTTGAGATTCTGTTTATTGTTAATATTGCTTTTGTATAAACTACTATCCCTCATACATTTGATAAATATCATTCTTATGAAATTCATACATTTGTATAAATCAATGAATTCATTCACAAAAGTCTATGAACTTTTTCATAAGCCCACGGATTAAAAAGGCAACTATAATTCATTTTCTACAATTTGAATGTTCTCCCAAATCTGGTAATTGCATAAATTTGTAAGTTATTCGAGGCATTTATAAGTTCTTAGAAAATATAAGTTCTTATAATAAAATTGTAAACTCATAAGGAATTTCATAGTTAAATTGTGTTAAATACAAATAAAACTTAAATAAAGTATATAACTGACCACCATTGTTTCATTCTTAAAATATAACTCACCCAGTCCTAATCGACGAGATTTTATGCTTTTTACAAAATCAAATAAATTTTATTTTGGAAATAAAGCATAACTACTCTTCTTTGTACACTGTCTATTTTCACTCTTATTGGAATCAATTTATCAATTCAATATCTTTTAATCGCATTGAATTTTGCCAAATTTCTTTTTTTATTTTTCTAAAAACTTTGTCACTTTTCTTTTAAAATAAATAATTTATGTTTCTATTTATTTCTCTTTCCTCGACATACTTCTCAATCACATGGTTTTTACTTTTCTTATTTTACACATAATAAAACAAACTTGACAAAAAAAGTTAACATCTACGTATAACTAAGTTTCATTTAGTGAGAGACGCGGACGGGCCTAGGGTTAGGCAGTAGGTTGAACAACTTTGGTAGAAGACAGAGCAGACGGAGGTGCGGCCTGACTGGCGGAGAGGTCGGGAAGCGTTTCCACCAGGGCTCCGTCTGGGACTGGTTTGTGATATCCTTGGGTGTAGGAGAAGGCTCTCCAATCGGTTTGAGCTGCGGATGGCTGAGGGAGGGGGCAGACTTCGAGGTGCGACGATTCGGTTGATTTCGTTCAGGCCATTCTAAGGGCAGATGATGACGGCGAACCAGGAACAATTCGAGGTGGAGCAGCTGGCTCAGGCGTATGGCAGTATGGAGATGTATGGAGGAGACACGACTCCGTTGGCGAAAATCACGACTCCGGGTGTGGCGTATGAGAGTCTAGCGCTTGATTGGACCTTCACTTCAGAAAAATCGTGTTTGTCAGTGTTGAAGTATCAATCATAGCGGTCTTGATGGTCGGGCCTCCTCCTGAACCACCGCCATGGAATGTACGAGTTGGAGCTTTGGCTGTTTGTGGAAGGTCTCAGGTAGAAGGATCAAGAATAATGGAGTTTGGCAAGCACTAGCAGGCTCGTTTAGTTTGCAATTTAATCTTGTTATCTTCCAGTTTATTTTTTTGGACCCTTTGTTGTTTGGGTGTGCATGCTTATGAGGTGGGAAGATATTTTATGCTAAGAAGTAGAATGACTTCAAAAGCCGAAATATTCTTCATATCTCTCAGATGATTAGCGACTCGATCCGCTCTAGTTAAGGTGACGGCTTCTATAGCTAATCGGAGGGTGAGAGGGCCTTCGATTTATGGTAATTGGTAAATTTGATGGCAGAAGACTATTCAGTATTGAATATTGATAAGTTTGTAATGTCATTGGTTCTTGAATTCTAATATAGTTAGTCAGTTTCCATTCAAAAAAAAACTTGACAATGTCCAATGCAACAAATGTAGAAAAACGGAGGCTCATTGCAAAATAAAATAGAAATTCGTCCAAAGAATTGTACATTTGAACCACAATTTTGAAGGGACTAATGATTTAGCTAATGGGGGATTTTGTAATGAGGATAGTAGCACTCTTTCATCAAGTAATTGAAATATTACATTTATTCATTTCTAGATGTACTGTTTCTATTCATTTTGTCCAAAAATTGTTCACGTTTACAAAAATAAGATCTTGTTAATGCTATTTTTTTCTTTCTCTAAACAAATTTCAATCACATCATTTTCTTCCTTTTTAATATGTCAAAAAAGAGAGGAAGAAAAGTAGAAACAAAGTATTTCTCACTATTTGATTTCTGGATTAGCCGAGTAAAATCAGTAATCATTTTTCACTTTCCCTTTCTAGAAATGTAGACAGAAGATGAGAAGATGGTTCTCATGAAAGAGGGTAAAACTTCGAGCATGTCCAATACTATAAATTAATTTTATGACAACTGACAAGTATACGCAAACATATTCATACGTGTTCATAACAGAATCATATTCATAGGTGTTCATAACAGAATATGTGATTCAAAGCAAATGAAATGTATATCCTACCACATTAGCGCCAAACTATAGGCACAATATGAGTATGAAGTACAATTTTCTAAATGTACAATGAGACTGGGGGGCGTGGAGCATCAAGTGCCAATAATTTCTTTTTTGAATAAATGAAGGGTAATGAAAGAGGAAAATATGACAAGTAAAAAATGAACGTCAGGAGTATTAATGTGATCATTGTTATTCTATAACTACATGGTAAAGACTTCTTTCCAGTTTTTACCTCGTATGTAAGTTTTTTCTATAGTTATTTCTTTGTTGAGATGTTTTTGAACTCTCAGGTCAATAAAGTGACAATTATGACTAGAGACACAAGTATAAACTTTGCTCTCGGTATCAAAATCTCCAGCTACGGCTCTGTCTAAACCTTCCTTCTAATGTAATGCAAAACCTTCGCAAAATTGAGTTTTTACTTTAACATTTGAAACTAGTAAAAAATTAGCTGAGGCAAAAACTCCCCTTCCAAGAAGAAAATGTACAAGGCCAACAAGAGAAATTAGAGAAGCAAGAAAACCAAGTAGTTTGGTCTGGCAATGGCTCTCCTTGACTGTTAGTTGGCTCAGATGGTTTTAATGATTCTTCCTTCTGTGGTAGTGGCTCTGACATTGGCTGTTGCCGCTGTTCTTGGCTCATTCGCACCCGACCATTGCCAATGCTATCAGCGCCTTCTTTATCGGTCTGCCCTGTCAATCTTCATTACATTCAAACTAATCAGATCATGTTCTCATCTGGATGCCATTAAAAATGTTCAAATTATAATATTATATGCACATTTATATCCAACCCCTGCTCTTCAGCCCAAATAGAGCATACTTTTCCACCTTTCTGCTTGAAAATTTGGCTTTTCTTCACACCAAGAACAATAAATATCAAGAATTGGGATTGCATATGAAAAGGTCAAATTAATAGAGTAATCAGTAATTCAAAATTTTATATGTTACTATATTCTTAAATTTAGACAGCATGAAATGGCTACAAATTCTTGCAGAAGATGGCGGCTCGTAAGAGCAACCAATATCTTGAAAGAAGACCAATCTTGAAATTTATACTCTTTTTTAGCCTTGACAGGATTGGTTGCTCGTTTGAACAAAATAGATTTTAATACCATATTAAGACTAGTTCATCTTAAAACATCAACTTCATATAGGAAGCAACCTAAGGTCTTACATGCGAGTTTGTATCTTTTTATATTATGTGGTATGAGATGACATAACAATAAACAACTACATTATCTAGTATCTACTAACAAAGGGGTGGTTATTAGTGTTAGAAAAATGAGGAAAAGAACATCAAAGCAGTTGGGTAGGAAAAACTGCCCACATCTGACAGGAGAGCAATCCTGGCTTATTTACAGAGATACTGGAGTGAAACTGGTGTGCATTATTAGAACTTAGCAGGTAGTTATGTTTTTAGGTATGAGGTGGAAAAACTAACCACAATTATGGAGTACTCACATTGGGAATGCAAATGATCTGTCACTGGTGATACTCTCCACAGAGTAATGAGAAATGTGTGTCTCCTCATTTGACTTTTTGGGATGATTGTGTTCCTCTTCCTCCTGTATGACCTCTTTCCAGACATCAGTAGTTGTTTGCAGTTTTTGTCCTACCTCGTGATTGTTTCCATCAGTAGTCATTTCATTGGTTGCAGCCTGGATTTGAAGAGGGGGATCAGTTGTCATTTCATTGGTCGCAGCCTGGATAGGAAGCGGGGGATCAGTTGCCATTTCATTGGTTGCAGCATGGATACGAGGAGGGAGATCACTCGTTATTTCCCCAGAGTAGCCAAAGAAATGATCCCTGGTGAAGCTCCCTCCCATTTGGATACTGAATAATGATTCATTGGAAGCTGAACTCCAGTCTGAGCATCTTGGAGGCGTATCAGGAGCAAACACGGCTGGTGGAATCCTGTTTGATGATGTATCTGTACAACTATCCATGGTTGATTCTGCAGTGGAATCTCCATTAAAGATGAATTAACCTATTTCATACTTAACAATACGGTTTTCTAATTGTTTCCAAAGGATAAGAGTTTGGTAACATCAATTGCAGTCGAAATATAATTTGGAGTTGGTGGTGGATTTTTTTTACTCGCAGGTCCCCTAATTATTAGGTAGGTTTCACTTATTTACCATAATCAAATCGATATGCCAATCAATTGAAAAATTCATCTTCCAGTCGGAGCTCATTTGCCTCCATTATCAACTACCAGACATTACTGCTTTGAAAGGAAGAAATTCCCTATCATTTAGCGCCCAAAGCCTAAAATGACGCAAACCTAAATTTCCTTACTAATGATAAAAACAATAATCTTCAATTCAATTACCAAATGATGCGTGAACCGGGTGTTCAGAATATCGAACCAAGGAGCGACTTGGAAGAGCCGGGCCGCCGGCACCGGGATATGGCCCGAACACTCACCGAACAAGCTTTCGTCTTCGGCGGCCTCGCATGCAATTTGCAGAGCAATTTCCCTACTAGAGTACTCCGGATTCAATCCAACCACAGCCGTGTACGAAGAGATCGAATTGAAAGCTTGCCCCGAAACTTATCGGCTAATCGGCCAAAGGCTCGCGGAATCCCTAACCGAAATATGCGCGCGCTTTCGTTTCTTCATACGGCCATACAATACTCCGTATTACAATATTGAAAATATGAATTTCAAGGGCAAAAACTGAAAAACATGACAAAGAAATAGAAATTTTGTAATCGTGTTTAATCTAATTTATTTAAGTTTTTTATCTATCTCTAATAGTATGGTCTACACTCTGCAATTTGGAAGTATGTTAGGTGAAAACTTCCTAAGTATGCAGATTTGTTCATGATTATATATAGGTTAAAGCGTAAAATAGGCCCTCGAATTAACAAAAAAAAGTATCATTCACCCCTTATATAGGAGACTTTGTTCGGCCGTCGACAATTTGGGTGGTTCCCGATAGAATTTTTGGATGAATTTTTTTGAGCATCTTCTTCATTAAGTCTAGTTTACTCATACCAAATTTCAGATAAAACCTAATAGGGCAGACAGTCAAATGATTTTCTGAAATGTATTGTGTTGTTTAACTGTCAGTTATCTTCAAAATTTCAATTGATTGCCTTTCTGATTGAATTTTTAGCTGAAATTTGGTATAAGTAAACTAGACTTAATGAAGAAGATGCTCAAAAAAAATCATAAAACAATAACACCGGGAACCGCCCCAATTGACGATGGTCAGACAAAGTCTCCTATATAAGGGGTGAATTGCACTTTTTAAATTAGTTCGAGGGCTCATTTGATCCTTTAATCTTATATAGTTGTATGTAATTGCACCAAATATATAAATTAAGGACATGATTGCACCAAAGTATTATCAAAATAATTCTGAATTATTCTTCTATTTTCCCTTCCATTCCATATTTCATGAATTTAGTTAGCATAATTCCTCAAATTATCGTCATTCTTTTTTTACATTGTTAATTTCTTTTTGGCGTCGTATAGAATACTTTTCAAGGGACAAAAATGAAATATTGATGATATGTATACTATTATTATTAACTAGCTTTCAAGCCCGTGCGATGCACGGGCATTACATAATTTAGTCAATTGTAAATTTGATATTTTCGAAATCATATACGTAGTATAATTTAATGTCCTGTAAAAGCAAAATAAACTCAGTCTCATATAAAGCCGTTTGATAATACCAAAATGAGTCGAATTGTCTGACTTTACTGTAATATAAATTAAATCTAACTGATTGGGATAAATTGACGGAATCTTCCAAATTATGAAAAAGGGATGGTTGAACCGTGTCATACAAATTAAAAAAAATGAATTAAATCAACTGTAACTAAATTTTATGAATGACGTACTTCATCATCTAAAATTTAGTTCTTACAAATAAATTTTCAATCTACTTTATTTTTTATTACAAATAAAAAAGGATGCTAATCCGTGTCATACAAATTAATACGGAGTAAGTAGAGGTTCTCAAAAAGTTACGTAGTATAAATAAGGTGGATTCTATATAATCGTACAATATTTTGTTTCCATATCAATATGCAATAAAAAATAGAATGTAATAAAATATAAAAAGCATAAAAAGTAATTAATAATTATTATATATGATGACATGGCAGGATTATGTGGCACACCGTATGCTCTTAAAAAGTTGTTCTTATATATATATATATATATATATATATATATATTGATTAATAACTATGTCATTTATTTTCTCTGAATTGTATACTCCGTATTTAGCTTTGATTTTGGAAAACATATGCAATAAAAAACATGTGCAAATTTGGGCTAACAAAATCCAAATTTCTCTTTTTAGAAAAATCAACGTTTAGCATTTCTAAAACAAAGAAATTTTTTAAGTAAGATTAACTATTTTTAAAATTACACGAGGCATTAAAAGCTCAAACTATTTTTAAAATTATCGATTGGTCCCAATGCAGTTTTACAATTTTATTCTATTGTGAAGTAGTTTTATTCTATTTTTATGTAATACAACAACAACAACAAACAAACACCCAAGTCTTAGTCTCAAAAGATTTTGGGAATAAAAATGAAACGGAACCGTACCTGGGGTGCTGCTTGCTTCGGTCCGGACTGAACGGTCCAGTTCTGGAAGCGGGTCTACCACTCTACCCTGGTCTTTTTGGGCTAAGCCAACCCAAAGGGAATGTTTTCTTAATTGATATGATGAATGATGATGTCTTTATTGTGTACAAACTTCTAATGAGAAGACTTATGTAAAAAATGAGAACTCAACAAAAAATGTATACAAAATCTTAACCACTTCATTATATAAAATCTGGCCACATCAAATCCCAATTTTGAAGTTCATTAACATCCATGCGAACCAATGCTTTCTGGGCACACAAAACTGCAGGAGGGCGTTTCCTAGCTTTCTGATCAATATGCTAAATCAAAACCTTTTTTATTTAGCAAAAATTGGGGCAAGGAAAAAATATGCATTCATATACATTTTTAAACAAAAAATCGAACAAGATAAAAAATAACCAAGCTCGGGGCTCAGTTCCCCCCTCTACGCCCATAATCAGAGGCTTCTGAATCTCGTCATCTTCTGGCTTTCTTACTTTTGACATTTCATCTTGAGCATCTGGCTAAATTCACGACCAAACATTTGGACGGTTAGATAATTCTATACAAGAATTTATTTCTTCTTCTACTTCCATGTACCGAACCTTTCTCTGGCTATTTTCAAGAGCTGTCTCAAGCTCCCTCACACGTTCTTGAAGTTGTGATTCAATGACCTCATGTAGCCTCAAGCAAAGTTCTCTAGGCGAGACAGCATAATTTGCCGAGGGAGGAGTGGATTTGTCACCTTCATCACGGTCTCCATAATGTAGAATACCCCTTCTATTAAAGGCCTGATCTAGTAACTCACCCTCCGGTAAATCTGGTATGAACTCTGGGTCAAGCTGTGAAGTTTTTTGGGCAACAGTAAGTAAATCCCAGATAAAACATGTTCGTCCATCCATTAAGAATTGAAAGGAAAAGGAGTGCAAAATCTTATATATTGATTTTGTATATTTATAGACACTAAGGGTGGGGATCACTAAAATCTTATAGTGCCACATTGTTAAACTTGACCAATTTTGAAATTTGTGTGCTCAATGTGTCTTAGTCAGATCAATTGCTTGTTTGACTGTTTGAAGATAAAGTTGTTTGAGGATGAAGGTTCTTACCATATAAAGATATGTGGTTCATCCTAAAGATCAACCTTATAGAATTAGTGACAGGTAAAATAATACCAAACAAATACCACCATATGAAGTCAACTCTATAGGAGTAACCCAATGAAGTATATGTTGGTTTGTTTATATGCATATTCATTCAGTATGTGATATTATTAATTTATTACATAATTAAGCAAACAAATTATATGGTTAAGTGTGGGTTACTACACAAGTAAAAATAAAATGAAAAGGTGTTACCTCATTTAGTTCCATGAATTTCCCTTCCAAATGAGATGAATCTATATTCTGTTCTAATCTCTCTAGTTCCATTTCAAGCTCTACTTCAATTTTACTCATTGGTTCTTCATCTGTGTGCTTCCATTGTTGTTCTTCAACACAACACTCCAATGTCTTATGATTCTGCTGAGAAGAAAGTGAATGCAACCCGTCATTGTTATAATCCTCAGCGTGAATTTCTTTCACAATTAATGAACCCTTCATTTCAAGTTCCTCTTGTAGATCTTGAACCAAATAGTTTGTCTCCTTCAGTATTAGGTTAAGTTTTTCTATTTCTTTTTTATATGCCACCATAGAAAAGAAAACTCCAATGTATATCCCAAGAGACAGAAGAAAAGCTTCATTAGAAAATCCTGAATCACAAAGAAAGTTAATCTATGAGCCAAAACTGCCAGAAGCAAAATACAAATTCAGGTCATCATGGGAACAAGCTTTTAAAATAAAATAAAAAATAAAAAAATAAAAAAGAGGAGGATAAGCTAATTTATGAAGGTAATATGCCTGTAACATCTTTCAAGATACGTCATGGTTTTTTCAAATTGCACAAAAACTGTGAATCAAATCATGAAACTCCTACACATTGGGAGAATGTATATATATTGTACAACAGGATGTCCTGTGTGCATAGTAAATCCAGATAGCATTCTTAATTTCTTCATATGTAAACAGTAAAATGGGTCTTATTCATATTCAAATGAGCATTGTATAAGAAAAAAAGTGAAGAATAATGCCAAAATGAGCATTTTCGGATTCAAAACGAGCAAATAAAAATCACAAAAATTACCTGGATGTAAAATGACATCCTGAGTGCACGGTATGTTTTGCAACGTATTGGGGACAAAACTGGGTTCACGTATTGGGGACAAACTGTCTGTGCTTCTTTGTTATGAAGTAACAGTCAGTGTATGCAATTTTCGACGCGATTTTCACTATGGATCATTCGGAAACAGTTTCTATGTGCTTTAGTACAGGGGTAAGACTGCGTACATCCAACCCCCCTTACCCCACCGTTAGTGAGAGCCTTTGCGGCACTGGGGTGATGATGATGATGATGATGATGGGGACAAAACTGGGTTCAGAGTTTTCCGTCTTCTAGTTTTGTTTGAGTTGGTTAAGGCCACATTGGCTTTGAAAATGCAAATAAAAAAATGAACTAAATAACACAAGTTGGTTTCATTTGGTCATTTTTTATTTTGGTTTTGGTTTTGAGAAAGTAAAATCTAGGCTAGGAGTGTCCATCTATCGGTCTGTATTTGGTTCAGTTAAGGTTGAATCAGTTTTGAGAAATGCAAAACATGAAACCAAACCGAATAACATAAGTCTGTTTTGGATTAGTCAATTGTGGTTGCCTTCTTTCAATTGAATCAATTTTCAGAGCCTAAACCTTAAGCTGCAAACTGAATCGCCTCTGATTAACTTGATTCAATTTAGATTGGTGCATTGGTTGGTTTAGGTGACGTTTTCTTAGTGTTAAATCTAGCCTCAAGAAGGTTAATTCAGGCCCTATACCTCCATCGCACAATGGTAGACTCAAGCGGTTATGCCAAACCCGCCCTAAGGGCTTGATTGATTTGGGGATTTGCAGGGGAGGAAAAACAAGGGGAGATTTGTTTTCTTCAAATTGTTTCTACATTAAGATGGCTGAAAAGAAAGCGAAGATACAAAAG